TATAACCGGTGTTGAGCAGCCGACCCAATTCTGAGTTTACGACTATTAATGTGCAACTCCATAGCTTTGTAATCTTGAACCTTACCCAAAAGATAAGGGAACACCTGGATCAAGCATTGGGGCAAACTTGCCTGTGTGTAAGACTCTTTTAAAGAGCTAACCCTTGTTCGTGTTAAAGGAAGAGGAAAACTACGAAAATCTTCCCTTGTAGCTAGTTAAAGGGTAATAGAATTCTAACCCGTGATTCTTGTACCACTGAGAATCATTTACGTCAGAACGGTGGTCGGTGCGAGTCGGAAGCAGAATTCATAGCATAAACCAGTCACCGCTTGGATTCGCGCTTGCGTCACCTCATTGGAAGGTGAACGCTCTATTCCCTGAGCCACCGCGGCTCCGCATAAAATATTATAACAACCATATAATTTAAGAATTTCAAGAACCATTAACCTTTAATAAATATGCTTAAATATTAGTGCCGTATTATAACGAAATACATTCAAAAGTACATAAAAAAAGTTAAAGAAAAGCACGGAATATTTATGATGATTGCCAGTCTCACCCGAAAAAGTCTGTAAATTATAAAATAAATTTTTCGGAATAAGTTATGTTGGTGATTTCAAAAAATATTTTAGGGTGGAGGATTTAAAAAATCATTGCGCGTATTGAATATGATCATTCAAATTAGATTTTTATTTTGCTAAAATCGCCAATTTCATCCACAGGTTTAATAAACATAAAAAAATAATTGATTAGTTACGTCTCCAATGATTCATATGCTGCTGCCATCCTCGGCTTGGTATAAAAAAAATTCTCGCCCCACCCTTAGTTTTATGTAACTAGCCAAAAAATAATGCCAGGAAAGAAATCAAGTCTTTTTTGTAATTCCAAGTGGAGTTCCAGAGGTTGTGAATATTGTCATTTATATGAAAAAAAAAACTTTTATTTCCTCAAATTTTTCCGAAACTAATGACGTTATTAAACGTGTTAAGATATTAAGATATTATGCAAGTTAATAAACTTGAATAAAAAATTATTTTAAAATGTCCACCAGTACGTGGTATTCCTGATATGTCCTAAGCATTGCAAAAAATTAATTTCAATTATAGAATCATATTATTTACATACATGCATCACATGTATGATCCGAAAGGTATATTTTTAGATAGGAGGCCTTCTCATATTTTTAGTTACAGCCTATGTTCAGAACTGCGACCTTTGAGTACATTTGCGGTCCTTTACTGTTGATTGACAATTTTAATGATGTATATAATATAATTTAACATGCATTGTGACTGTAAATATGCGTGCTTGTCATCATTTGAAATCATATAATTTGGGTACATATATCACATATCTTTAGGCATTATTTTAGATATGAGGCCATCTCATATTTTTTTTTCATATTTTAACAACTCACATTAAAAACTGCAAATCTTGAGTATATTCGCTGTCCTTTTTATTGTCGATTAATAGGTTAATGATATATTACATAAAACGTGTACTGTGACTATAAATTGTACTGTGACTGCTTGGCATAATTATAAAAATTAATTGCCGGCAGGTCTGCTTGCATGAAATTTTCGTTTCTCAATTGCAGTTTTGTGGTTTTGTTTAAGAAAATTTCTGATTGAACTGAATGCTGAAAAACTGAACTGAACTGTAATGCATGTAGGGAACCTGTTACTTCATTCTTCCTAACTCAACCACTTGGCTATTGGAGCCACGTATAAATGTGAGCATTTTGCAAAAGAAGGTAAGACAGATAAGTTATTTTACCTTTCTAAGTAGACAGGCTTTTTTTGTATTCTCACCACATTTGTTATTGATAGTACTATAATATAGAAAAAAAAGGTGCGTCTCTGAAGGGATTCCAACATATCTTGTACAGCCGACCTGGTGGCCGAGTGGTTAGCGTGCCTGACTGCGGAGCCGCTGGTCGCGGGTTTGAATTCTGCTCAGGGTATGGATGTTTCTTTCTCTCTGTGTTCTATGTCCTTTCTCCTTTGTGTGTGATTGTGACCCTCCCTATAAACGGGTTTGTGGTTGTGTGACGTGGGCGCCGCTGCTCCACCGCCGTGGGTCCGCCACAGGTGCCCACTGGGTAACGAGAAGAGAGTAGCAGTTCTGGCATTTCTGTGGCCAATGGGACAACCCCCAAGTGCCCACCATTAAAAAAAAGAAAAAAAGCATATCTTGTACAGCCTACTTAGTACGCAAATCAGTCTAAACTTAAAAAGTAGCTATGATATCTGACTAAGCATGACAAGTGTCCCAAGCTAACATTTTTGCTTTTTCTGTAGAAATATACATTCCTATTCATTGTGTGAATAGCATGTCATAACAAAAGAAAAGCTTGTTTTATCACGCATGGCAACTCTGTTTTAATTCAAATGTAGCCAACTGTGTTTAGACGATGTGATTATAAGATGGCAAAAACCGAAACATTGATGTCTATATTGCGTATTTTGGCTTTTATATATCTTTGTATAGCACAATATCTCAAAAGTGAAGCTTAGTTTGAATGTTACTTTCTTCATGTGCGCATGGAACCAGTCTTAAGACCTTTTGACGATTTATTGAAGCGCTATCAATCCGAGTAATTACCTGTTCAGTCACTGTTTTGGCCTCTCACAAACAATAGATAAGATTTGGAAGAAATAAATTAAAGGCTTTCTACATGCGTTGTAGTTCAATTCAAGAACTTTTTTAAGTAAATGAGATCTTTCCTAAAATGAAGATTCTATGTTAATGGTTCAAGGGCGTAACCTTAAATGTGTTAATTAGTGCAAATGATAATTCAAGTTACGAGATCAGACCAAAAAATTTCATTAAATATAAACATACCTTCTTATTCATACCGATTCTCAAAATTTGGAGGGTCCTGATAGGTAGGTTAGGAGAGCGGTTGTTCGTAATCTTATAATGTTAATTTTACATTTTGCGTATCTCGCTATACCTGGAGATTTTTGTTAAGTGAATTGAAAAGGTTTTGTACACAATTAGATAATCTCAATCCAATCATAATTCCATGTGAAAAATAACTTTTAGTGAATATTTATTATTTTTATTATTTTATTTAATATAAGTCGGAAACATTTTCCATTCTAAGATAGACAATTGTCCACATCATTTTAAAACGTATAGATTTATGTAGCAAAATACAAAATTTGAGCGAAATTGGGTAAATAGTTCCTGAGAAAATTTTACGCCCTTTTTTGCTCACTGTACCTGAAAGAAAATTTTCTTTGCACGTTTAAAAAAACCTCTTGGCTAAGATTCATAGAGTTAGAGCATTAAAAAATACTAAAATTATTCAAGAAACTTTATTTAGTAACTGTGCTTTAATATTTGCAGCATTTTCAATACTTTTATTAACGAGGTTCCGATGTCTATACACAACAATTTCGTTTTCAATATAGTGTTTGGTGCTTTAATGCTTTAGAAAAAGATATAGTTAAAATATTTTAGAAAAGTTCTTTTAAAAAAAGTCTCTCTTTTTGAAAATTTTTAAACATACCATATATTCAAATATAGATTTTTCTGTGACATAAAAAGCAACAAAAAGTATCCATAATTTTATTCCTCAACAATTTATATTCTTAGGATGTTATAGATATTTGGAAATATTATTATGCCTTGTCACAATATCCTTCATTGCGAATTTAAATATTTAACTTTTTTAAGCATTTTAATACAAGGTACAAAATAACTTAATTGCAATCAAAGAGAAACACATTTCATTTATTTTTAAATGACTTGTCAACTGTCTTCACAACGTACAGTTAAATTATAAAGTTCGAAAAAGCTGAACATCTTATAGTTTTAAATGCCAATCAAGAATAAAATACTAATAGTTTTCGCAATATTCAACATGTCATGCAGAATAGTTTTTGTTAAATTTACGCATTCATCTCTCCATTTATTTGACAAAATTTTCGAGGAAGCCTTAGACCTCGGGGATTTATATAACATGTTTCATTTTAAGGAGTAAATAATTCAGAATAACTTGTAAAATAACAGAATAATATACACTTCCACAAATTTGATCAAATGTTTTAAATCAACTATAACAGATGATTTAAACTAATGGTTTCATGGAATATTTATCTAACCTCATCCAACATATAAGATAAATTTAACGCATATATTAAACAGTTTTAATGATAATTTTTTTTTAAAACAGTAGCACTAATTTTATGTAAAAAATAATACATAATATTAATCATATTTTAACTAGATATTTCACGTTCAAAATAACATTTAAAACCTTCCGTATACTTTATTATGTCTTTACGTTACATCTAACTCCCCGTAAACCGCATAATTTCTAATTGCAATTTAAACTTTAAGTGAATATCTACTTTTTTGGTGATAAGTATTTGGAAATAACTATTTTGAGCATTAATTGAGAAATATTTTGCCATTAAAACAATAAAATGGTGCCATGTAACTATAATATATATATATTATATTATATATATATATATATATATATATATAGCATAATAA